TAAACTAGCTGGAGTACAACAGTCACGTACCACGCCCTACCACCCTATGGGTAATGGGATGGTAGAACGGTTCAACCAAACCCTACTTAAAATGCTCGGTACGCTGAACGACAAACAGAAAGAGGACTGGAAGTCATATGTAAGTACCTTAGTTCACGCGTACAATGTAAGCAAACATGACAGTACGGGTTTTTCGCCATTTTTCCTCATGTTTGGGCGACATCCGCGCCTGTCTATTGACGCATATTTAGGCTTGGATACCGATTCTACCGAGAAGCCTAACAGTCATGACAATTATTCTAAGAAGCTTCAGAAACGATTAGAATATGCATACAAAATTGCTTTTCGGGAAGCTGAAAAGAGTAATGCACGATATAAATCTAGTAACTATGATACAAGAGTAAGACATTCAAAAATACAGGTCGGTGACCGTATTTTGGTAAGAAATGTTGGGTTGAAAGGAAAGAACAAACTGGCAGATAAGTGGGCCAAAGACACTTACATTGTAGTAGGTCAACCCAACATTGATATTCCAGTTTACAGAGTTAAAAAAGAGTTTGGGTCAGAAAAGGTGAAAACATTGCATAGAAACATGTTATTACCGATCTCATATCTCCCCAGGGTAGCTGATACAGAGCAAACCATTCCTAAGAGTAGGACTACTCCTGCCCCTGAGCAAACCATTCCTAAGAGTAGTTATAGGACTACCCCTGCCCCTGAGCAGACCACCCCTAATCAGATCATTCCTGATCAAGGTTTTAAGACTACCCCTTATATGACACTCCCCAAGGTGAGTCCCACTTCTGATATTGTTGATACATTGTCTGACTCGTCAACTTCTGATTCAGAATCATCAGATAGTTCCCAGGTATATGTGATTCCTCAGAGGAGGGTAAGGCCTGGCATTGTTCGTTTGAAAACTCCTAGTACAACAAGCATTCTGAGAGTATTGCATTAGCAATACTAGTCCAATACCGGCAAGTGTAATCTGGTTCCCGTTAAGAATTGAAAATGCCATAATTCCGTCAAAAATTAATGAAGCGGGACGAAATGCAAACTTGATCTATAACTAATCAAGGTAAAGCCACATACCAAAAATCAGTTCAATATCTACAAGCGTTTAGAAGAAAATTGCGGAAAACCCGTAAAAATTGAAAAGGCCGTAATTCCGTCAAAAATCAATGAAGCGGAACGAAATGCAAACTTGATCTGTAACTCATCAAGATACACTCACATACCAAAAATCAGCTCAATATCTGCAAGCGTTTAGGAAATAAGAGCAGAAAACCAAGTGGGACAGACTGACAGACAGACAGAGGGACGGACAGACAGACGGACAGACAGACAGACAGACGGACGGACAGACTCAGAGGAAACCTATAGTCCCCTCTGGTTTCACCGGAAGGGGACTAATAAAGGGTTCTCATGATTTTCAGGACACTATGTCTACATCTGATCCCAGTGCTGCATTTACAGGTAATTCAACTTTGAATCGTAATGCAACATTTAGTGATACTAGTTCCTTTGTAAATAGTCCAGCTTCCAATGTACCCCCTCGTAGATCAACCAGACAGGTAAGACCCGCAGACAAGTATGGCGAGTGGATTTCACATTAGATTAATCCAGTGGTCTATTTTGTGTGAGTAACTTTTCCATTGTTCAGGGGAGAATGTCACATGAAATGATATTCTTCAATTTGTTTTTATGATGTTTCTTGAGTATATACGATGATAGTCTTCATTTTGGTTTTTATGACGATTCTTTTGTATATATAGAAATTTGTATATTTTTGTGTTTTATTAACGTTAATCTGATATTTATAAAATGTCAGGAGCCATTTTCCCAAGCAGGGGAGAATGTCACAGATGTTATGTTTTAATTTGTACATAAAATTGGCGCGCATTGCCAATCGAATGCGTTTGCTGCGTTTGTTTGTGTCGTGTGTCTTGTGTGATTGTTTTGGGAGATCATGTGACATTGTTTATTTTTGTATTTCCACGTGTTTCCGGTTAGGTGACCTAATGTGACCTTACAGCTGACCAATAACCGACTGTTTTATCTTATTAATATGCATGTTTTAATTTCTGCACCAAATATATAAACGTAGTACCCGCCAATTCTGGACCCCCACGCTTTTTGCCTTTACGGTAGAAGTCTGTACATGTATTTGAAACATAAGTATTCTGTAAAGTATTACAGTCCCTGAAACGTTCTACTTACCCACTTGAACGGTGAGCGAACGCTGAACGAACGGTGAACGAACGCAGAGCGAACGGTGAGTGAACGATGTGTGAACGCTGAACGCAACTTGGTGAACGATGTGTGAACGGTGAACGGTGATCGAGCGAACGCAGAACGCGAACGGAGCGCAAACGCGAACGCAAAGTGAACGGTGAACGAACGGTGAACGCAAGATGAACGATATATTCGGAATGCCTCTGATGTTTTCCTTGCATTGAAACTATTTTATTGTATTATAATGTTAGGTGCCCCCAAAAAATAAATAAATAAATAAATAAATAATAAATAAGTACACCAATAAATGAATGAATAAATAAGTCAATAAAATAAATTCTCCAAAATTGAAAGACGATGCATGCACATTAAGTTTTTAATCACACGATTTTTATCGCATTAAAACATTGTAATTGTTGCCGAACGCTGAAGTATAAAAGATGTGTTTTTTAGTTGGAAAATAAAAATGTTTATTCTTATTTGATAAATCAGAGAAAACTTCTGACTTACAGAATGAATTAAAGCGGTTGTAACGTCCATTCATATATCTCCGTGTCAAGGCGATTTCGTGTAAAGTAATGAAAAAAAAAATAATTACAAAGGTCAGTGGACGTTTTGCTTTTATACGCTCGTATTTTAAATGTTTAATACAATAATATATTGTGTCATTTCTATTTTTCATAATGATTCATTGAGCAGACTTCTACATGTATCTGTAGATGGCCGTGATTATACTCGGACAAGATAATACAAAGATGCATATTCATATTATTTGTTATAAATTCAATTTTCAGAACTTGATATTTAAGTAATATGCTGTTATAGTGTTTATTAAACAGACAAATGAGAGAGAGAGCAAGAGAGAGATTCCGTTTTAGCCCCCCCCCCCCCTCCTTTCAGGTTTCACTAAATGTTTGTACCTATATCAAACAAAAACTCTGATTTTTTTTTTCTAAATATATCAGACAGTGAAAGTAACTTTTTTTTTAATCAACAAATCATATCCATTTGTTTGACAGTCATACTCGTTTTTATTTTCCTGCTTCAAGTTCACACGAGAAGTCCACGTGCTTGTCCTGTCAATCAAAATCATTCGACACTGTGCAGGTGTGAAAGTTTCGTCACATCGAAGGCGAAGTGCGAGTATTTCCAACAAGTTATAACATTTATTTTTATCATTTCTAGATTTGATTCCAACATTTAAATAATAAATGAATAAAATACATTGGGCATTAACACTTGAATTTGAAACATACTCTCTGCCAATTTCAAATACCACCGCCGACACGTGTACATATTGAACTACTATTGTTTTGTGACTTTTTTAGATGCATGTTTGTTTTTGAGACTAACATTATTGTTCTAAAAAAGACCTTAACTTTTTTTTTTAAAAAATGTTAATTAAAATATTCTGGAAATACAGTACTGTCTAAGTAACCGATTTAGGGGGAAAGGGGGGGGTATTAATCATATCGAATGGCAAACATATAAAGTTACTGTGAAGAAAGAATTTTTTTTTCTTTATAACAATAAATTTAACATATTATAGTAGAGAAAACTCTGTAGTGCATTACATTTTAAATAAATATTTCCTTTAACCACACTATCAATTTCATTCGCTCCAAAGATAATAAATTAACAGGATATCCGCAGTACTATGTATAACTCTCAGAACTATCAGATTTTCTGTAGTAAGTGAAAAAAAAAACGTGTTAGAAATAAATATTTTCGTAATTTTGCTGCGTAATTATTTTACTTGGATAATTATATCACAAACATTTAATTTAACAAAACAACAAATTGTTGCAGTATTTGCACATTGCCCTTAGTTAAATTTAATATTTCAGCATCGGTCTACATAGGTACAGCATGTGCTTATAACAACATTTATTTTCCAGAGTAATTTAATAAATAACCTAACAGCTAAGTTAGAATAATAAATATATATATATCGTAAATATTTTTCCCCATGAAATAATGATTCTTCAAACACGATATGTTAGTTATTAAATTAAAAAAACTCCTTACCTACAAAAAGATAAGTCCTTTCACTTCGGAGTTCCGAATGACAATCAAAACTGAACGATAGGTGAACGCTGAACGCAAGGTGAACGCAAAGTGAACGGAACGAAGAGCGAACGCTGAACGCTTTGTGAACGGTGAACGCGAGCGCACGGTGAACGCAAAACTGTGAACGGAGAGCGAACGGTGAACGCACGCTGAACGAACGGTGAACGCACGCTGAACGAACGGTGAGCGAACGGAGAAATGGGAAAGTAGAACGTTTCAGGGACTATACTTGGAGTTAATTTAACTGGATTCCTGGTAAGCTTTCTGTTTACCTTTATTATAATTATTATATAAATGTATTTTATAATTTACTTTTATTAATTAATCCCGACAGCAAACAATCATATAATTTATGTGTTGTTAATGTCTGGTGTTAAATGTAAAGTATTCGTTTTGTGTGTGTATTGTGTTGTGAGAGTGTGTTTAATTTATACTTTGTAGGTTTTTTTGTTATAAGCACAGTAATAAATATAGTTGTGCCGAATCCAGTGTTGGATTTTTCCTACAAAAGACCCGGTGACACGACGATGGCATGGGACATAAATTCCCAGAATTAACTAGCATGCTTGTTGAATGCAGCAAACGGTTTTAACGATCTAGGTACTGTCCATACAACTTTGGTAACTTCTGTAAAATGGTATGAAAATAATATAAAGTATCACAACTAGCTGCTTTTATAAAACAATAAACATAAGTCACAAATTTGTAATCTTTATTCAATGCTTGCATTTAAATATGCTTAAACACCTTATATACATAAAATGTAGGTTTTGACCAAAGTGGTGCCTTAATTTTGTATGAAAAAACACATTTGAAAAAAGGGAGAGATGGTTTCAGATGCTGCAAGAAAACAACGCAAGTGCTTCTGAACAAGTCTTTTCTATCTGAGAAGTTATTTTTTCTGCATTTCCTTTGGTCAAATATATTTTTATTTTTTTCTACCTATTATTTGATAAATCCTGTATAATGACCATATACCCTGGATATAAAGTTTACATCGAATGCTATCTTTGGTTGATAAATTTTCATATTATTGATATGAGGTAGTTAACATACAAGTACACTGAGAATAATTTATACTTTGACAAGACATATACTACTTATCTTGGCTATTACAAGAATAATTATTTTTTTTTTACAACTAAAAAGTTATATTGTTAAAATCTACAATCAAAATCTACTTTCATATAATTTAAAATAATCCATAATTTCTACTCAGATTAATCAATCAATTAATGTTTACTATTATTAAATTCCATTCACAAAAGATTTTCTGATTATGAATAAGCTGGTTTCAATTTCTCATTCATAAATTTCCACAGCAATATGAAATTGTCAAGCACTGAATTATGCCATGTTAAGAATATCACATAAGCCTTCCAGAAAACAGCATATTTTTTTTTTTTAAAAAGAAGACATTTCAGAAGGCTTCTCGAAAAAGTTTTTCGTCTTCTTTCGAAACTCCCCATTGTCACCAGGGATGACTAGATTACATGGTGAAAGCTTGCATACTACTTAACTAATTTACAGTATATTATTACTTGATTGCTCAAACAGAAAAACATAAAACTTTTACTCATCATAGCCTATTTAAATTACATTGTATCTGACAATTTAGCAGAAGGAATATTATAGTGATCATCCACTGTAAATGAGTTTAGAGTCACAAACTTTCACATCAATGTCAAGAAAAGAATGCATAAAGGAGAAAAAAATTATAATTCATAATTTCTGTTTAAAATTGTTGATAATTAAGAAGGAATCAGATTTAGGAAATGAAACAATACTAAGGAACACATTTAAAGATAAAGTAAAATACATTATTGGAAACAGATGGAACATTTTTTCGTACTCAAAAAGGCAGTGTTAAAATTAAAATACCACATTGGCAATAAAAATCATTTATAGAAACTCTTGTCAAGTATTTTCCATTTTGATAAATGGATGAAAATCTTTCAATTACCGGGGGGTATATCCTTAAATGTCCAACAAATTTTCAAATTCATCATATAAATTTACAAATACTTTAGAAGTAAAACTCTTCCCAAAAAGAAAATGCAAAAAGAAACATTCCCAGAAAGTAATGCATGAAAACAGTCGTTTTTTTTTTAAATAAAAAAATACAAACACAGCCATGTTAAAGTGATATAACCCTCTGCTAAGTGGAGATAATTCTAACAATGATGATTTTACTTTTATTAAAATTAGAATTTTTTCACAATTTGCCCCATTCGTTAAGAGTAAAAACAAGCTCATTTGTTTATGGTTAAGAGATGGAGACAAAATAGATGGAATTTGCTTCAACCCATAAGTTCACAATAGCTTTTAATACTGCAAGGAATAAAAAATCATTTCACTGTAAACATGAATCCATTATGAGCATGTTCACTGTAACCATGTTTCACTGTATACTAAATTTGTTTGAATTAATTTTTCTATCTCCATCTGTCTTTGTTACAGAAAAATTTCAGCAGAGGGTAACACGTCCTTAAACCCCTCTCTTTTGAAGAGTAACACTTGGTGTAAATGAAATTCAATATTTATAAAAAATTGATCACACAGTGATGCGCTTACGTAAAATTGCATACTGATTTTCGTTCAAAATGAATCAGATGTAATCATGTTAGTAACAGATTCGAATGGGTGCATGATCACCAAAAGGTTATTTCCAGTCAACTGGTAAAAGATATATAAGAAAAACATGACCATAAAAATATACATATAAAAGTACTGCACCATACTATTAAATCTATGCATTCATACATTGTATAGTCTATCACAATCAGTCAATCCTACACTTTAAGGCATAAATCAGCTAAATAAACTCATTATGTTTGAAAATCCATTTACCCATTCTTGAAAATGTTAACAAAAACCCCAAAAATTGACGAAGTTCAATTTGTTTCACAAATCATTTACCCCCAAAAAATAATGAAAAAAAAATCACAACCCATAGTAACTTACTACATCTCCTGATTCATATCTGGCAGAAAAATTCAAAAATGGAAAAAATAAATAAAGAAATAAAGGAAAAGAAAAGAAGGGAAATTTCTTAGCTTGTACATATAGACATAATATATACAGTGTGTGTATATATGGATAGATATGGTTTTGTTTCTGGTGCTTTCAGGATCAGGTAAGACTTAATAAAACCACTTGTTATGAAAATACATTGAATGCGAAGATAAAGGCACAGATGTAAAATTCAATAATAGCACAACATCAATAGTTCAAAGTCCAATCTATGTCTATTTAGCAAATATAAAAAATTATATCCACCCTTTGTCAATATTTTTTTTTTACTAAGTTCTACAAGGACATCATGGATATTGAAAAAAAAACTATTTGCTATGGCCTTTTTAGAAAAGCTATAAAAGTGTACAATTCAAGAGTTTAGACAAGGTGTATTTTGTGAACACTTATCTAAATAAAAATGACCTCAGGGGCCTACATAGACATGGTTTTTAATTCAAAAGCACAAACATACATGCAACTTACCTCTTAAAATTCTAATAATTAATAAATAACAATGTGAACCAAACAAATTCAATATTCTGGCAATTGTCTTCAAGTGGTCACTAACAATGCATGCTGAAAAATAAATATCCATTGCACAAAAAACCACAATATACATGTGTCCAACTAGAAACCAATTCAGTGAAAAGACAAATCTCATTGTGGGATACTGAACAGTATAGACAGTAAAAAACAAAAAAATATATAATCAAAACTCTTCATGGAAAAGCTGAGTGGCAAGAACTTCCCCTGTAACAATTGTCTGACATCCTGCGTCAGCCGTCTTCTTTTTGGGGGATGTGTCCCGGGGTTTTTCATCATCAGCCAGAACTAATACAGACTCATCGATGTGTCCATTAGAGAGGGATTTCTCATCTCTTGGACTATCGCCCAACACAGATCTATTCATGTAGTACCTTTCAGCCACCATGGATAGATTTGGAGATTCGTTTTCATCACTTAAATCCAAATCATCAACATCTTTCATGCCCTCTAATTCCGCATGTTTGAAGTTCCACACTGGTACCACTCCTGTACCACTTGGCACTGCATCAGCAAAAGCATACTTGATTCCTCCGACACTGATAGGCACTGCCGTAATACTGCTGTCGTTCAACTCTGGAATTATTCTGCGCATTTCTTCATCAATGTTAGCTATTGGGCTAGGAGGCTCCTTGTATGGTATTCCATCTAGAGGCAGCTGTAAGCGTGTAGCCACCTTTTCTATCAGATCTTCAATGGACTCGTTCTCTTTCCAAATTTTTGTTGCTCTCCATCTAGCTCGACTACCTTTGGGGGCTGGAATTGCATCAAAACAAACCATTTCTCCAACAGTTAGAAGCTTATTTAAATCATCAATATGTTTTCCAAATATGTTCCTGTCAATGAACACATGTTCATGACGCCCTAAATCTATAATGCCCCATAATTTGGCAATGTGATATATTCGCCCTTTCCTGGCTGTAACGACAGGTTTCGGACTGACTTGAGGTCGACTGCCTGTAATAATGACATTTAGCCTTGCGTTCTTGATCACAGACACAACTTCATCTTCTGTAATGGTAAATATATTACCATGAGCTGCAAGGAATTTGCTCAGGTCATTCTTTGTCCAACCAATAGTGTTCCTCAAACTTTCTGGAGCCTGGCTAAAATGTCCAGTGAGGGCAGCTAGCTTCATATCCCCTTTTTTCTCAATAATACTCTTAATGAACATGACAGCCTTGTACTCATTGGCTGTCATTGTGGCAGGTCCAGACCTGGGGCTGGGACTGGGTGTTGGAAGATTTCTGTTAACCATGGGAGACCGAGGAGACATAAGAGGTGACCTGGGTTCGAGCATGTCCAAAGACTTGGGCCTTCGTTTGTTCTTTGGAGTCAATGGAGGGGCGAACTGTTCTTTCTCAATCTTGTTGAACCTGGATTTTAGTTCCACATCTTCGATGGCTTCTGCATTTGGATTGATGGCACTGTAAGTGATGTTGTCCTTCAAACTGACATTCTCTCCATCTACTTCGAAAATAAGAGGATGTCTTAAAAGCCAGTCTTTGAACTCACTTTGTGGCCCAACACACTCTCGGATTTCGGAACTGGCTTGAGACAAGTGGCCAGCTAGACTGTTGATGGGCATCCACTTCTCGCCTTTCTTTAACATTTTCCCTCTGAAGTACTGGACGGCTTCTGTCTCCACCGAAACTTCTGGAAGACCTGTAGAGGAAGCAGGACTGCTTTCACGAAAGTTACTCCCAAGTGAGGCTGTTCCATCATTTAAGCACACCTGAGAAAGTACACATTTGTAAGTTTTACATAGGTAAAAAAGGTGAAAACAGAAAAATGCAATTTTATTGGTTAAGGAAATTCTACCATGTGTTAATAGTTTAATCTACATTTCAGCAAACAACTTGAAGATGACATCTGCATTTGGATTATACAGGAATATAGACATCTCATAAATTAAAATATAAGATTTTACATCTGTTTAAGATTTACAAATGCCATTACTGATACATGCAAAAGAGATGAAGGGAGCAAAACTAAAACTTTAAGGTACTGTTTCCCTAACAGCCTCAGATTCAATGAAATTGAATACATAATAGATACATGTATGTTGATGTTGAATACTTAGTATATTTAGACGTAATTCCCATTTATTATAATTATCTGAAGTGTATGTAAGAGTGGAATGTGTCCTTATTTATGACCTTGACCTTCCTTGAAGAGTTATATCCCTGTTTTTAATCAATATAAATTTAAAATCTTAAAAAATCTCTCTGGTTAAAAAATGTTTACAATCGTTATTCTATTCACATTTGAATAAATTCATCTTTTCACCAAAGCATTTACTGATACTCTTAATAGTATTTGAAATTTTAATTTGAAAAATTTGCTCGTCCCCATTGACCTCATTGCAATCTTTATTGGTTAATTACTGCTTAGGTTGTTAAATTTTTGAAAATTTCTCTTTAATCCTTTTCTACTTTAAAATGATTAAAATAAATATCAGAGTATTATATATGTGATAGATATTTAAGGAAAGAAAATTAGGTCCCATTAGCAATGGAACACCAACTTTCCTCTGTTTACATGTAACTAATTAAGGCAGTTTCTTCTAGCTGCAATAATGTAGCCCTCTCCAATTTTTTTTTTTTGAGGGGGGAGAGGGCTACAACTCCTTAGGATCTCCGTAATGGTGCAAGTGCGGGAGTGATTCACTACCGCACAGATTTCTGCTCAAATTATCAGTAAGTGGGTATTTTATTAACATATCTTATCTGAACTCATAAAATGTAGTTATGCAAGACATGAATTGATCCAAAAATATACAGAACAATCCGTATATCGGTTATATGTCGTGTATGTCAACATCACAACTTGAATTTATCCGCCATGTTTACTGACCTTGATCGATTTTATTTTGGGACAACCAATGAGAATTTGGGATCTAGGGAAGCGGATCGTTTAGGATTTCCCTTATTTCAAGCACAAATGTCACTGTTTATGAAAAAAATATCACATGGAATGCTTTTAATTATCGATGTTTAGTGATATCATACAACACAGACATTTATCAACACTGACATATACTTTTATCAAGTGATTTTAAATTTCAAGCGCAAGTCTCTGTACATCATGTGAGAACTGTCATGGCTTCTGAGGAGAACGACTGGTAAACACACAGATTTATTTTACTTGGTTTTCACTTATAAAGGGCTATGATGTTGATAGTGAATAAAAATTCCGTCTTATTGGAAGTAAGTTGAATGCAAAAACAATTTATTTTGCCTGCAGTCGCCCGTATCTAAAAAATATATTTGCACCATTACGGAGATGCAGTGGAATTGTAGCCCTCTCCTGAAAATATCAGATTAAAAAAATCGGAGAGGGCTACACTATTGCAGCTAGTTTCTTCCTGTATCATGTGTATAATCGTTGTTCAATACATCTTTCAAATAAATAGTTGAATCATTATTTACCAAGTTTCCATTTACAGTGAAGAGAGACGGATATTTCTGAAGAAATTTCTTCAGTCCAGTTTCATTTCCTCCGGCAGCTTGTCTCATTTCTGAGGTAAAATTCCTGCTTCCAAATCGCCCTGCCAGCTGACTTATGGTTAACGGAGCAGGACTGTTCATAAGAATCTCCAAGAAATACAACATAGCCTTGTGTCCTGCGTCATCTGCCATTTTGTTTTCTGTTTTGACTTACGAAAAAGGAAAAATATTGAGGAAACTGAACTCAGAAGTGTCTTTCAGGTGTGCAGTTTCTTGCATGCATCTGCAATAAAAAGAATAGTGGCAAAAATATTTTCATATCTTTAATGAACTTATACACAAATCTTATAATACTCGTACTTTCACAACTACACTTCTTTTTTATTAAATTAAATTTTTCAGTAAGGCATGCAATACATTTTTAATAGTAAAATAAATAAACCCATTTCATGTAGATCATTGAGATAAGGCCAGATAAGACCAACATTGACTGTGTTCATTTGGAAAAGGATAGAGGTGTCTTTTGAATGTGACGCAAATTGGTGGGAAAAAAATTACTTCAGGTTCGGCATAAATCATATCATCCTTTCTTTAAAGCTTGAGATACAAATGAAGGAGGAGTAACATTCTATTGTAACGTCACAAGACACTTTTGCTGACGTCCAAATATAGATTCTGCATTTCTCTATAGAAAAGTTAAAATATTCAACATAGCAGAATAGAAATAATTCCCTCATTGGAGGAATTGTTCCTCCGACACAAGAATTATTTCTTATTATAAACATACTGACTGTGATGAAATATTTATAGTGCACAGGACTGCATCAATGTGTAAAACAAATTAATTACAGGATCAAATAACTGACAATAAAATGGCATAACAGAGGGTTCATAGAAAAATATTTTTTGAAATAAAATAATCAGACTTATTGATAAAATCTAAAGGAATGAAACAAAACTCTCATTTTATTTTCCATAATTTTAAGGGGGCTTCATCGGCTAGTAAAATGTGATTCAGACTAGTGAAATTTTGTCATTTCTTGCCTGACTTTACTGGTACCGATAAAAGTTTTTGGCACACACTGGACATGTCAGATGTTATTTGTCTACCAAGACATCAGCTATACATTAGCATAGCATAGCTCACTGGGTTGGTCAATCAAGTGATTTAATCTTTTGACTTTATTGATAAAATTTTGAACTCCTGTGCTGAGTTTTAATCTGTGTCTAATTACAAAATATTATCAGGTTACTCTAAGCACCCCTGCATACGTTGTTAAGCTGTCCCTTTCTGACAAAAAACACCATATGCATAAACATTTTGTCTACAGTCGCTGCATTTTCAACAAAAAATGTGCATTTGCATGCAGTCACTAAGGAATAAAGAGGAATTTAGCTAAAATCGAAATCCAAATGAATACTTAACCTATGAACAATTCACCTATAAACAACCAAGGTTTATAACATCAAATTTGAATAAATGATGTTACAAGACCCGAGAGCATCTGATGATTTTTTTATGACCATGCCCATTGCAGGACAAAATGATTGAACAACTTTATACGTTTCCTGATAGTGAAATCATCTGCAAAGTAACAACATAAACAACATTTAGAACCTGTTCCACGTCTATAATAAATCAGATACCTTATATATTAGATAGCATTCAAACAAGAAACTTTTCTAGTATCATAGTATGACGAAAAACTTTGTGTGCCATCTTGGGAGTTAGATTGTCTGAAATATACGATTGGGATTTCGCAAACCGAAAATGATTTACATAGTAGGATGATCCATATATTATTCGTAAATATATAAAAATCATTAAAATGCCTAAATACTTAATACTACGTATTCATTAAAATTTTATAGGTTAAAAAAAAAACAAATAAAAATTATGATTCGAAAAGTGTTATCAAAAGTAGTTCTTGAAATGTCGGTCATATTAAAAAATAACTGACAAATCAATGTATTTCACTGTTTAAAATTAGGTATATCTCAAAGGACAGACTTGTGAAAATAGGATTCCAGGAACTTTGTTAAATGTTTATATATTTTAATTCTGATTTTTTTTTTTTTTTTTTTTTTGCCAAATCTAATATCTATTTATCTTTTTAATATTTTCATGTCAAAATGTATTGTATCAAAGTATGTAGGATACCAAATAATTATCTATCTAAATATCGATCTATAACACATTTGCAATTTTTATGCTCCCCCCCCCCCCCCACTCTGGATCTGTTTTGTCCAAAGAAAATTTTGCAAGCATTTTTTCGAAATAAAATAGGATTTTTAGATTTATTTCAACATTCATCAATATAAATTTAGAGAAGATCTCAACTTAAAAAAAATCTTCGAAATTTTATTTTTTAAAAAAAAAGTACGTAAAGGTAGTTAAGGACTCTTCTCTCTCTCTCTCTCTCTCTCTCTCTCTCTCTCTCTCTCTCTCTCTCTCTCTCTCTCTCTCTCTCTCTCTCTCTCTGAAAAAAAATATCGTTTCCTTTTCCAAAATAATTTCTTTAAATATGCATGTGATATTATTCTTAGGTTTACAATTTGTAGTGGTTCGAAAAGAAACTATAAAAGCAGGTGATATTCCAGTTTATTGGTTATTTTTTGGGAGCTGATCATAAAAGCAGTCTATGTACAACTTGATGTTTATTACCCAGCATTCCCCAGGAAGTCTCTGTACGCAGACGTAGTGAAACAAGCGCCATTTTGGGAACAAAATTTAAACTTTCAGAATGGTTATGCCGAAATGTTGTGAATATATAGCAACAGTGATTGCTTTTATTGACATAATTTAATTTTTACTCTAGGAATTATCGTAAGAGGTTCAGCATGTGGTGGATCGTGCAGGGCATCACCAGCTTCTTTTACTACTCCATTCTAGATTTTGTTTTCTTCATCATAGTAGACGCTTTCGCCAAGTTTACGATTGGAGACACAAATTCAAAGTATATAGATTGTCATTAATGTCTTTTGTTGTAATTACATTTTTATGATACATGAAATATTTGCTGTATGTGTTGTATTCTTGCAACCATTTATCAAAATCACTCGAATGAATGGCAATGAATGCCATGTTTATTTATAAACAGAGACGCATGCACAGGATGCATAACATTCTGTAGATTATTTTTCTTTTTTCCAAGGGGCCTGTGAGTTGGCTCTACAATTTTTCAGTATCAGTATATTTTAGCAGAGACATAAATAACAGATTTGCAACTCCACCATTGTCATGTTTGTTAAGAAAAATATGTTGCTGTCCTGGTATTATCCTAACAATTACTCTTTATTGGAGTGTGACTAAAATGGGTAGTAAAACCCGGGCCGGGCCGGGAATTTTGAAACTGAAAACCGGGTTTTCGCTAATTACTGAAAAAATACTGAATTCTTCAGCACGAAACTTACAGACGTAATTTAATACAACAAAATGTGTCTTCGCTGAGAGTTTTAACACCAAATATTATATTGTTCAATTATTATTAACGATTGTCATTTTCTCGGTGACTAAATTGGGTAGTAAGCCCGGTTTATTCATTTTGGTGCTTTAAAGCTAATTAAACTCAAAATTGGATGTCTTTGTGTTTTATCATTGTTTATTAACTTTAAGAACTTAAATATTACGACAATTGCAAAAATTAATGTCGATAATTAAAATAAACGCCGAGTTTTGATACCCGGGACAGTCCAAAACCGGACGCGTTTGCCCGGGACAAACTGGAACATTCCGAAAAAATTGCCATCAGATAACCGGGTGCAGAGAATAATATAGAATTTATTAAAAAAAAAAAAGTAACCTAACTCCCCCCCACCCAAAAAAAAAATAAAATAAATCAACAAATGGAGAAAATAAATGAAATATACACAAAAATACCGACATATTCTATTTTTTCTTTTAAATACTAATGGAGTTATATACTGATGGAGTTATGGACATAATGATTTGACAAGAGAAAGATTGTAGGCTACAGCTAGATTCGTATTCAGGTAATAATTTCGCCGAAATTACATGTATATGTCTGCAGAGCTAGCTTGGAACATGTTAAATTAAGATCATGAAGATATTACCAGTAAATTTGATAAAATCTACGCAGTTGGCTTGGTTCAGTAATATTTACTCCTCTCGTCATTATCTCGGAAATTTATGGTTCGTCCCGGGTAAACGTCTCCGGTTTTGGTCGGTCCCGGGTGTTCAAAAATGCATTTATTTTCTACAATCGGTAAATATTAATACAATGGTTATAATTTTTTGGTTGTTTAAGTTGATTTCGATCTATCCAATACAAAAAGCTGCAATTATTTCAATAATATTAAGTGCAAAACACCAAAATATGCAAACCGGGTTTGCTACCCATTTTAGTCACCGGGAAAATGACAATCGTCGATAATCATTGAAAAAAGTAATATTTGGAGTTGAATCTTTCAGTGAAGGCATATTGTGTTGTATTTAATTATATCTGTAAGTTTCATGACAAATAATTAAGTATTTTTTCAGTTATTAGCAAAAACCGGGTTTTCAGTTTCAAAATTCCCGGCCCGGCCCGGGTTTTACTACCCATTTTAGTCACACCGTCTTTATTGGTCTTTGTATTTCTACCTTAAGTTGAATATTAATAATAATATTGAATATTGAATAATAATAATATTGATTCTGTTATATATGGGTGTGTGATTTGTTGAGTTTTATTGATTTTTAAAAGCAAACTAGGAAAATTAAAGAGGTCAATGACCGAAAGTCGGCAAAGTCATGGCGATATGTGGCCGACCACGTGTCACCTATTGCAATTTCAGATTTCTACTTTGTTATTGTTTTAGATAAAGAAACTTATGAAAATACAACATCCTAAATAACTTGTTAATATAAATTAAAATATTTAACTCTGTTATGCCTGATAATTTTAAAAGTTTTACATTTTTATGTGATTTAAGTTGCACAAGATTTGAAAAAAGTAAACCATTGGAATGTGAGATCACACAAGACTTCAAGCATTTGCAAATCTCTGTTATTTATGTCTCTGATTTAGTATTACTTTGCAAACGTCATTGTTGATACATATTACTTCAATTTACCAATTTCAATAACCTTCAGTAGGATTTTAGCCTGTGACATAGTCATCAGCTTCTAATTACTCAGCAACTCTAGAATGAACTTCTTTCTAACCATAATCTCAGTGAGATTCGTAGAGATTAAAAAAAATTTTGTCTCTACGAATTTCGCCAAGATTATTCTAACCACTGCTCCTCCACTGAGTGACAAAACATAGGTAGCTGACATAAAGAACTGACTGCATTGTTTGTAGTATAATCATAGATATGAATAATCTGCCCTTGATTACTTTGCTACATTACCAATGCATGGACGGAATTTCATTGTTAAACCTGGTCCATAGGACAAATATCATTTTAACAATGAAAATGTTCTACCTAGACAAAACAATGACATCATAAACCTTTTTATATTTGTTTCAAGAGAGTTAATAGTGATAAATGCTCACAAGTCAAAAAGATGGGCACTCAATTAACATAAAATATTGAGATGTCCTTGCAAAGCATGATGTATAAATGGTGTCTTCTTCACTTTTGAAGACTTAATGTAACTATAGAAACTCCCTAAGAAACAGCTTTTATTTTTCAGAACTGTTCAAGAGAAGAGGCTGATTTGGTTCTGGGAGTCAGTTGTGCTGTTTATCCTGAGTTTCATCATCTATCTTTGTGATCATGTCCCCTATCTCCTTATTACTCTGTCAGTTGTAACCTTTGGCTACACACAGTTTGGCGTCTCATTCAACATATACAGATGGTGGAGACAGATGAAAACCAGGTGAAGTGTCATAAAAATATCTTGTTGAATTTGATTGTAGTTTCACTGATTATACTAGAATAGTCTGATATTTGAGACAAAGTGCACAAACCAGTGCATGGGGCACTATGTAAAAACTTTGACAACAGTGAACTATTCAAGGCATAGCACTTGCAAAACACACCATTGTTATAAATATTCTAAAGAATGCCCAACTCGGCAACTGCTTCCCGGTAAATCAAAATTTTTAATTAATTTCATATATCAATTGTGTATTCTAAAGATGTTGTGTTTAGGCTTACTTTGGCATTCTTCTATAAGTTGCTGTGTTCTGACTTTCAAACATGCAAAATTAGGTAATCTGTAATAATAAACTTTTGATATATCTGCAGATGGGAAGAACACCAGCATCATCAAGACAGCATGACAAGATTGCAGGTCCAGCTAGCAATGCATCAACAGCAGCAGCAACAACAAGAAGCATTGCAACAAATGATGGCCTTCAACCACCAACCACAGCACCCTGTACAACAGCCAGGCCAGCAGAACATCTTCAACGCCACACCAGCCAACAAGCCTAAGGCTGGCCAGGAAGAAAGGGGCATCTACAAGTCAATATGGTCCAAAACACCAAAAATTCAGCTCAGTAGTCTATTTAAGAGAGCACAAGCTGAGAATAATGAGGAAAAAGCAGCAAATCCTAATTCTAGTCCTCCTCCGCCTATTAAGAAACAGGAATTTAGCTTTATGCCCTCCCTGCGTGCAAAATCGAGCTTTGCAGGAGGTCAGCATTTGGCCACTATGAAAGATGATTCTCCACCCGCAAAGCCTTCTTGGTATGGTGATAACCTCTCCCGTAAACCTTTGCGGTCAGGAAGGTTAATGCCTTACTCACCAGCATCAAGGCCTCAAAATGATTCTTTACGTTCCAGGATCATGTCAAAATTTGGATTCGGATCTTCAGAATCTACACCCGCTGGCCTTAGGAATGAAGGGCAAAATCTCTGTTTTATCAATGCCGTAATACAGTGTCTTGCAAGGACCCCTGGACTTGTTTCAGAACTAGAAAATGAGGCTGCTTACAAAGACTCAGATTGCAGCATGGCAGAATCTTTACTTCTAAGCACGTTGTCTGAGCTGATGCATAGTTGTAACATGAATGAGAAGCCACTCCTTGATCCTATAGCATTCAGACAAGCTGCATCCTCTCTGAATCCTAACCTTGTGGCTCCACCTACTCAGCGCCAATCACAGCAGGATGCAGCAGAGTTTTTCATGTGGCTAGTGGAATCACTTCATTCTATTATTAACAGAAACAGAAAAACTAGGTCAAATGGTAAGTTTATTTAGAGTTTAGAGCAGAAAGTTGCTTCAACAGTTAATTTACAGTTTAAGCAATATGTTGCTAAAACATTGTCAAAAGTCCTGGGTTTTGTTTGTACCTCCATTTCTAGAAAACCAGTGGCTTAGAACAATATGGTGTCATATACAAATACAGTGTTCATTTGAAAAAATAGAACAACTTTAAATGCATGTTTCTGCAAAAATTTTGTTGTTAAAATGGTTTAAATTTTATCATTTGGCTATTGTAGACAGGCCAGCCCCAAGGGAATCTAAACGCTTGAAGGTGATGAAATTCATTTATGGTGACTTGACACCAGCCAAAGTGTCAGACCTGAAGAAAGCATGTAAAGAAGAGGTAGGTACAGTTCACTGTAAGGCCATCAGTAAATTTTTTTTTTTACCCATATTTTTATGTCCCCCTTCCAAGAAGGGAGGGCATATTGCTTTGCTGCTGTCGGTCGATCTGTCTGTCTGTTGGTCCACCAACAGTTTCTGTTCATTTTCTTTGCAAAGGTTGCACATACTGAAATGAAAATTGGTATACAGATTTATCATAAGAATATATAGGTCATGAACTGTTTTGGGTACGATTGAACAATTTTTGACAGAGTTATGCCTCTTGGACTCAAGAAAAATTCCAATTGCAGTTTTCATTCATTTCCTTCGCAGAGGTTGCACATACTGAAATGAAATTTGGTATACAGATTTATCATAAGCATATCTAGAACATATTCTGTTTTGAGTATGATCGAACAATTTTTGACAGAGTTATGCCCCTTGGACTTAGAAAAATTCCAATTATTTGCTTTCTGTTCATTACCTCTGCAAAGGTTGAACAAATTAATTACCGATATATCATGAGAAGCGTGTTTTTGCCAAAGGTTTGATGTAGAAGACTTTCTGGTTGATGCATCTCAGATAGTACCGGTAGATGACCCCTATTGATTTTAAATTTAAAAGGTCAATTTCATTCACTTGTACACTGCCCATAATGTATACTGCCCATAATGAAGGCTTGTGCACCCTATAATGTATGTCCCGGGGGGGGGGGGGGGGGGGGGCATAAGTGTTTCACAAACATATCTTGTTCTTCATAGAATTTTTGACTTGAACCATAATACATGTACAGGTAATTATGGTACAAATAATGGTGATCCTGATGGTACTGTATAATGAAAATAACACACTTTCAACAGAAAAGAACATTATCAACGTAATTTGTTTAATACACACTGTATTTCAGATTAATGCAGCTCATGGCCTATTGAATGATTCCTATGCAGAATCTGTACAGAGACTGTCAGATTTGGAGTGGATATCATACAAAGAAGAGAATTCCTCTGTTGTCGACAACCTCCTCACCGGACAGTTAGTGATTGCCTACCACTGTTTGGCCGACAACCACATATCAGTCAATATGCAGACTTTCAGCATATTACCAGTGCCTATAGAAGCTCCTAGACAGGTGAATGGTCTAGTCCATTTAAGTGATTGCTTTACCAAATTTTGTAACATTGAACATCTAGTGGGACAAGATGGACTGGAGTGTTCATTCTGCAATGCTCAGAGAGCCCGGCAGCTGGAACAGGTGAGGACGCCAGTGAGCACCCCCTACCTCAGGAACAATTACAACTTCAGAACCCCCAATGGGAGGACTGCATTGTCCAGTGCAGATTCTGCTGTGTCAGGGGTTGGTTCTCCGCTGGCAACAAATTTCATGTCCCCCATACCCGGGTCTAGAGACATGCTTAGCGACAGTGGTTTTCAGGATAACGTGTTCAAAACATCCACACCTATCAGTGACAATCAAATCCCCCTCCCACAGCGCTTACGTGATGCCCAGAGACGATGTTCACTGCGTCAGTTACCGGACTGTCTTGTGATCCAGTTAATGCGTTTCTCGTTCAATCCTTATACGAGGCAGACCAATAAAGTCCATGCTCCCGTCTCCATCCCTTTGTCCAATCTTGATCTCACAGAGGTGATGTTTGATACCATCGCAAATCGCGAGGACCTGGCAGAAGAAGAAGCCATCTACAAATACGATCTCTATGGATTGTGCTGCCATCTGGGAGGGGATAGTGCCAACTACGGACACTACGTTAGTTACTGTCTCCATAGTGACAGCAAGTGGTACAGGTTCGATGACGAGCGTGTTATAGAAGTCGACATGGAATATGAACTGACAACACATGAAATCAGGCAGAATGCCTATATACTGTTTTATAAAAAGCAAGGCATGTCCGTTTGATGTATGAATAGATTTCATTGTAGTCCGTAAAGTGTAGATTGTAGTGTGGAGAATTTCTAGAATTATTGATGTCTTTGACTTTAGAATCTTGAAAAAAATGGCAAACTTTTTTATCCAACTTCCAAAGATCAATTTTATTTTTTTATACTTTTATTAGACTTTCATCCTTTGCCTTATTAAATTAAACTATCCATGAAATACATAATATATTAAGCATGATTAGATTTGATAGAATTTATTTACATGTGCAATTTTTCCCAGGGAAACTGTCAAAGATGATTTTTAGCTCTACTGGTCAGAGACCAGAAGAGCTTATGCGATAGTAAGGTGTCCGTCGTCCGTCTGTAAACAATTTTTCAAAACGCTACTCCTCCTACAGTTTTAGTCTGATTTCAGTATAACTTGATACACAAGTAGACTACACTAAGATACATAATTCTGTGTATCGGTTTTTGATTTTCATGAACAGTGTTGCCATGATTACTAAAAATAGAGATTTCTTAGAAGTGCTTTCAAAAAGCTACTCCTCCTACAGTTTTGATCTGATTTCAATATAATTTGGCACACAAGTAGACTAGACTAGGATACATATTTCTGTTTATTGATTTTGATTTTGGTGAACAGTGTTGCCATGGTTTATACTAAAAATAGAAATGTTAAAAGGCTACTCCTCGTACAGTTTTAGTCTGATTGCAATAAATCTTGCCACAAAAGAGACTACACCAAGGATCATTATTCTATGTATTGCTGTTGCAAAGTTTCAAGTCTAAGTGCTACTTTTATCTTCCATTGTTATAAGTACAAACCAGTAGAGCTACAGTCTCGTCAGACTTCTGGTTTTCATTGGTACATGTACTTGTTATTATCGTTTTGTTGATTACTATTGCAAAAGTTTTTAAGCACCTTATGGCATTTATTGATATTGTTAAAACGAAAGCTAAGTTTTAAATTATCAATATGTTTGACCCAAGTCTGATTCAAGATTGTTTATTTTTTTTATTGATTCTGCTATGATAACTACATGGCATGCATTTTGAATTGATTAGATTTTCAGGACCAGACAGAGAAAAATAAATGTCCTTAGCAATATGAGCAATGAAAATGATAACAGCCAAAAATGTACCTGAGGTAAAATTTTATAAGAATATTTTTCTCCAGCATTAATTTAGGAAATGAAAGGATAGATTTGAAAAAGTTTTCAAACAAATTGTCTAGCTCTTATACTGGCAGTGTTTTCCCTTTATTTCAAAGTAAAGGGTTTGAGATCGATTTTAATAGGCTAGGGATTTGAGGTTTATGAATAAAATCTTTGTAGACCATATAATATTTATGTTTTAAATTTTGGTTTCTAAGCGGCATTTATATCAATTGAGGTGGTCAATTTGGTCAGTAGCTGGTTCTTAGGGAAAACACTGTACTGAGCCCCAAACTTATACTTTTCTGAGAATGTGCCATAAGAAACAGTACTTATATTTAACATAATTAAATAAAAGCTGTTTAATATTTTTTTTTTTTTTTTTTTTTTGTAATATTAAAAATGGTTCAAAATATTTCCCTTTTTTTAGTGGTATATTGTATATACCTATTCATGTATACAATGCTCTAAAATTTATAACATTAAAAAAAGACTTTATATACATAAATTTTGAGGCATTTATTTTGGGATGGGGGATTAGAAATTATATTTGACTAGTTTTAAAGGGAGGTTAGACTGAGCAAAGAAATACTTGAACAAGAAGAGTTTTTTTTTTTTTTTCAAACTTGTATTAGCATGATAAAGTGCATTTTAAATTCATGTGTTAAGTTAAAAAATGTTTAGACACAATTTGAAAGGTGTTTTTCATGTATCAGAAATTTTAAAAAGTCAGGTTTAATGTCAAGTGTGTAGAGATTATCATTTGCATTGATGCACTTCTATTTATACTTAAGAGATAATATTTTTTTTAAAAATTTCAAATGTAATTTTAAGAAAAATGCAGAAGGGAGTTTAGCAGGTGTAGGATTACTCATATATATGTGCTGTGCAAGAAGATTTTCATTGAGAAAAAGAATTGCTATTTTTATTTGAAAAAAGGCCAACAGCATGCAAGCAAATGACAAATTTTCTACTATAAAGTTCTACATTTAAATATTTGAAATTTATTGTGATTTATTAATTATTAGAACACTACACGGAGTATGGGGAAGCCCATTGAAATTTACATGTACTTTATAATTTTGTTAAAACTCTCCTTTTAAAGCAGATTTATGATAATTATTAATTTATTACAAAATTTTCAGTGTATTTAAATGCACTATAAGGTTTGAATTGCAAGTAGAACTACAAATTTTGTATATATGAATGTACATGTACCTGATTGTATAAAAACAGTGACTGAAACTTAATATCTTTGTGTGCTGTTTTAATTTTTACCTATAAAGCCGGTTGAAAGTTTACTTGGCTAAGCTACTTTAAATTACTTGATGATGTAAACAATACTTTTCTCCCCTAGTGCATCATATAGTTTAACAGATGAATGGTTTTCAATAGTTTGTTACAGTTGCAGCCAAATATTGTTTCAAATTTCCTGCTTCCATTTTCTCTGATATTTATAATAATACCTGAAATGGACTAGTGTAGAATTCTTGACAATCGACAAGTGTCTTATACACACTAACAATACACTTTCTTAATATTTCACCCCACACTGAAATTAAAACGAAGGTAATACAATGTAATCAAAGATAAGAAGCTCACCTCGACACATTATCAAAGGCAAAGTCTCGCAACGAATGTTATGGTAGGTGCAAAATATGTGCAAGTTTGGTCTGGGTAGAATTATAATTTCTTGGGAATGGACCTACACCAAAAACTTGGACTGTTTCAATCACCTTGAACATCAAGGTTAGTAAGATGTGGCATCTGAGGCTCATCTGGAAGCATCTGTAGGTGCATCATTCTTGAAGCCAAGTAGATTTTGTAGTGACTGGAATGAACCTTTTCCAAAAAAAAGGGTCATTTATCTGGAAATGTAGGCCTGATGCAGCATGGTAGTGAGCAACCCTAGATGCATCATCCATGCAAGTTCAGTCACCATAGGGATTTTCTAATGATTAGGAAACTATAGATCAGTCTGGTAGAGTGCATCCTTAGATGCATCATCCATGCAAGTTTGGTCAGCATAGGGCCATATAGGACTTTTAGTTATTTGAGAATGGATTTGCTCCAAAAACTTTAAACACTGGTCAATCATCTGTAAAATGTAGGTCAGATCCAGCACCTGGAGCAATTCTGGTAGTGTGCATCTGCAGATGCATCATCAGTGCAAGAAAAAAAAAATGTCAGAAATCAGATCCAGCATCTGAAACATGTCTCGTAATATAAATCTCTAGAAGTAGTATCCATACAAGTTTGGTCACCAAAAGAAATATAATTTAAAACTTGGGAATGAGCCTGCTCTAAAAAATTTATCACTCGTTTAGAAAATTTAAGTTGGACCCAGCAACTGAAGAAAATCTTTGGCTGTGTATCCCTAGATGCATCATCCATGCAAATTAATTAGTCACCATCTAGCTTTTAGTTACCTGGGAAGGGACCTGCCCAAAAAATTAAACCTGGTCACTACCGTTCACAGTAGCTCAGTCGGTAGAGCACTCGCTTCATGATCGGGAGGTCTCGAGTTCGAATCTCAGCCGCGACTGACCTAAGTCGATAAAAAATGGGTAGCAACTGTTCCTTCGCCATGCACTTGGCACTTTGAAGTGAAAGTTGCGGGTCCTTTGGATCAGAACTTAAAAACCGAGGCCCCGTGTCATGGCAGGCATTGGCATGTTAAAGATCCCTCACTGCTCAATGGCCCCCGAGTGCCAAGTAAAGGTCAAAATTTGAAGCCCTTCACCGGTATATGGTGACGTCTCTATATGAATGAAAAATTCTCGAATGGGACGTAAAATGACATAAAATCAATCAATCAATAAATCTGGTCACTCAAGTGGAAAATAAAGTTCATACCCAGCATCTGAAGCATATCTGGGAATGTGCATCTCTAGATAAATCATCCTTGCAAGTTTGGTCCAGATAGGGCTTTTAGTTACTTGAGAACTTTAACCTGGAGGCTGACACTGACACCTATCATATGATATGATATGATATCAGGAGTATAGCATATCTCAACTTCATTGAGGTGAGCTAAAAAAAAAAAATTGAATTTCTCACTGGGTGAGTTTAATGGAGTTGACTTTTTATGTATCCCTGAATTCTTGATTCATTTTACTACATGTATATACAATGAATGTATTTTACAGATTAAGATAGTGGGGTTTTTTTATGAAGGAATATTGAGAAACATTTCACAGTTCCTGAATATCAATCATAGATAATTTAAGAATTAACTTTGAAGAATTTGCAATAGGTTTTTTGCGTGTCCAAAACTTGAACAGATGTCAATATGTATAGGTTTAAAAATCATCTATGAAAAAATTCTTTTTTCTCCTGACTAGCAAAAAATTGTGTAGGAGAAGTCTGATTTTGAAAATGAGGATGATCTTTCTCAATTTTTTTTTTTTTACTTACAAATTCCCTTGAATTGTTTGAATTTTGAAAAACAACAACAATAATTATTTTCTTGCTTTAGTATCATCAAGCATACAATTTAAACAGAGGCAAATTTCCTGATACAATTATATGAAGTACAAGGTACATGTAACAAGCGTATAAAATTATTGTCTATCTTTGCGTGTTTGATATTTCAAAAATATCAAAATAGCAGCTAGGCTGTTAAAAATAATCTGAAATAAATTAATATATGAATGCCACAAAACAATGGTTTGACCTGGTATGATCTATTGGGATCTATTAATGTAAACATATATTTATCCTGTGTCATTTTTCCTGTTTTAGATTAACACAGTAATAACTTCAAAATGAGGCAGTTAGAGAAGGGGACTTATTCTTCAATGTAAAAGAAAAAATTTTGAAAAATTATATTGCTATCACAGCAGAGAGCATCAAATGGTCCGAGGGAAAATATTCCTCATCCATAACCATTGAAATAGTTTTAAAAGAATCTACAAATACCTTGTTAAAACTATATAAGGCAATAGCCAAACTTAAAATGGAGAAAAAGAATAAATAAAAAGGAGGCAGTCTAAATAATGGCCACCTCATGCAATTTCTAAAAAGTTTCATTCTTGAAGAAGAGCGGTGTTTTTTAAAATTGTCTGGATGACATAAACAACAGTTGCATCCCAAGATTTGAAACACTGCTTCTCTTCGAAAATCTGCACCATTGATAAAAATAATTAAAACAGCAAAAAACAAGTGAAAGCACACAATAATGAAAACTAAGGCAAACAAAACTATGTTCTTGTAGGTATCATGGTTGCACTCTGGACAATTTGGCAAATCACAGTTGTTTGAATTATCCCCCTTGACACACACCCCACACCGACATGAACCATTTGGCCCACAATCCTGTACACAGGGATAGCCTGTCACACCCATGTAGCTGAGATAGGAGTGGTGGATCAAGGATTTTAGTCTATGAAAACTGATGCTGGAGCTGTACTTGTCTTTGTAGAAGGAGCCATCTCCTGTAAGGGAGGCAGCTTTAACGTCGAGTTTAGAATTCACTATAATTCTGTCAGGTCGGCTCTCCAGTCCTGGGGATGGCTGGAACAAAATTTTGTAAAGCATTTAATTTTATAAGTGATGTTCAAGAAATTCATCTGTACTTGATTTTTGAAAAGAATTTCTTATTAATATACATGCATCATTATGTACAGTGTGTATGGTATAGGTGTATTTTAGTTCACTACCATGATCATACTGCAGTAAAATGAAAAAGTAAAATATTACAAATACCATGTTGCTGAAAGTATATCCTGTCTCTTCTGATCCATGCACCTCAGTCCAAGCATCCAAAAATGTTTGTCTTTTTCTTCGGAAGCTTTGTAGTTGAGGGATGCAGCCTTTGAAGTCTGTCCTGCGTTTGGAAGTCAGCAACTTTACTGGCCATTCAAAGTCCTTGTAGATATTCATATCTCCCATGATGACAACATATCTAAAGCTTCTTTCTATGAGAAAAAGATGTACATCTTCATGATTTCAGTAAACATATATATGACCATAAAATTTGTTTAAAGGTAAGGATCATACATATTGTTTTATTATGAACAAAATCTAATTTTAGTTAAAAAAATAAAAAGTTTCACCCAAAGGGGCTAAGCCCGTTTTGCTACTCAATGTGGCATGTTGGAAAAAAAGAAAAAACTATGATTTTTTCCTTTGTATATATTTTATCTCTGATTGAACATATTATAAGAGATAAGAAATTGTAATATGTACATTCAATGAAGGGTAAAAAGGAGACCAAAAGAAAAACCGTCACAATTAAACATTTTAAATACACATACCTCTAAGTAAACGTAAGAGGGCATCTGCGTTTTCACACTGTTGTTGTCTCACGTAAGAGAAATGAACAACAAACACATCAAGGATTCCAGAGTGATCTGTTCTGACTTTAGCATGAATTATGATTCTTTTATTTGTGTCTGGTCCCTGCTGGTATGGAACAACTTTTCTATTTGCAGATATAATTGGATATCTGCTCAAAATTCCAATACCTAAAACATCATGAACAAGGAATAAGTTTATGTTTACAAATTAAAACAAATACACCAATATACCAAAATAATGAAATATGGTAAATATTTTTAAAAATTTTATGAATCAGTCTTTATCAAGGATGTAAAATTTACTTTACTACTACATGTACATGTATTATAGTATAAAAATATGTTGATATCAAAAAATATTTCAACATGAAGAATTCATAACTTACCCTTTTTCATAGACATAATAAAGCATTCTATCCCACTCAAAGAAAAAGAACAAAAAAGGGGGGAAGGTAAGAGAGAAAATGTACTGAATTCTGTATTTTCATGAATTAATACTTGTTCACAATAATGAAATAGAGATGCAAACAAGGTAAAAAAAAATGTTACAATTACAGTTAAACTTTGATATCTTGAACCCCAATACCTTGAACACCATGGATATGTCATAGTGGATTGAAAGTCCCATCCACTTATTCTTTAAATATTTTACCTTCGATATCTTCAATCCTTGGATATCTCTGTTTTTTCTTGGTCCCAGTGAGTCTGAGATAATGAGGTTGACATTTTATTTTAAAGAACTTTGTGTTCTTCCAATTAAAATAGTACTAAAAAAATCCCCTTCAATTTGCTACATCATAAATGATTTGGCCAGGGGTACATACTAGTGATTGTCCAGACACAAATTTAGACTTTTCCAACTTACAGCAAGCTTGTTATACATGTTACATTGTACAGTAAAACCTCATTATCTCAAAACTAATGGGACCAAGAAAAAACTTTGAGATATCCAAGGATTCAGATATCCAGGGTAAAATATTTAAAGAATAAGTGGATGGGACTTCCATATCAGTTCGACATATCCATGATATTTGAGATATTAGGGTTCGAGACATCAAAGTTCAACTGTATACATGTATTGATTCAACATTGATCACTCACATTATATCATTCTAAAACACACTTAATCATTAAGTTAATAAGAACAAACTTTTCACAGAATGATGGATACCTTCCCCTTTCCATCCACTATGAATGGAGTTCTCCTTCCTTGACACATCATTAGCTTTATTGACAAACGACCACTGGTATTCAGGAAGCAGCTTTTGAAGATCAGACACCTGATTTCTTCCTGTTTCAGCATCAAATCTCACCTCTTGAAAACCAATGATATCAGACTGCTCTTCCCTTATCTAGAAAGACATGCTTGTTTACTGAACAAAATTGTTTCTACAACAATCAGACAGCATTCCTTTATGTCAGAATTTTTTCATAATTTCATTTGCTTGTAGTTACAACTATCGTGACCAAAAAGCAGAATACTGCTGTATGCTTAGCAGCTGTACAATTTATTGAGCAGAAATGTAAGAATGTCTCTGATTTATGCAGTTTTGTAGATAATAAGTACTAAATCTTGAAATAAGCACACCATTCTTGCTATTCGATATTTTCTAACATCCCAGTTAAACATTATATTCCATAAATTATATGTTGTAATCTTCATCAGCCCGAATACTGGCGATGTCAAATAAAACGACAGTAATAATGTTATAATAAGCATTTTCTTTCAATATCCGGGCACCTTCAATGTTCATGTTCCAAATTATTTTCAGTACAAGAAATTTGATTGGATAACTTTTTACTAGTGAACAATTTCAACCAATCTACATTTAGTTCTCAACTACATTGTTATAGTGTCTTTTTTCGCCTCCGTGAACAGAAGAGCTAGTGAGAATTTTGTAAACATTGGATTGCAGGTTGCTTGCTGTAGCAAAAGATATGGATTTTAAAGCATTGCTACAGGCAGAAATTAACAGAAAAAGACAAAAAGTAGAATCGAAAGACATACTGGTAAGTCATTTACATTCATCTCTCGATCATATTAAACTACACGTGGACAATTTAAAAGAAATTAGAGAAATATTGATATGACGCACTATTATTTTAGGCACCAAATAAAAAATATTTCAAACGAGGAGACTTAGCAGCAAAGGAAGAGGAGGAGTACTGGAAAAGACATAAAGGGGGGAATGACAAAAAACAGGAATCTCCAGAAAAGGTTAGTCCTTTTGTCTTAGGTTTTGTTAGCTGCAGAACTGTAGCTCCCTGAAGAAAAAAAATGACAGACTGGAGAGCTACAGTGCCACCCATAGAAAAAACTGTATATATTGCGCACAAAAAGTTGCGCTCAGTTCTGGATTTATTTCTCAAAATTGTTACCTCAACTGCACAAAAGCTCGATTTCAAAAAATTCCTTAGACCTCTATCAACTATTCTTGTAGTTGACATCTCTACGAAGCATGTTTGGCCGAATTGTCTAGCCACTTAAAATGGCAGTATTAACAGGCGAAATTTTGGATGTTCTCAATTTCAGACCCAGGAGAGCTATTTACAACGGTTGTAGGTTGGGGGGGGGGTATAGGAAATGTTTTGATGTGAAAAAATGTGTTAGGAACATTTTGAGATTGGAGTTTAAAAAATACGGAGAAATAAATCGAGAAACAGCTCACTTTTTTGTGCGCAATAAATATACAGTTGTTTCTTTGGGTGTAGCTCTCCGGTCTGTCATTTTTTTTTTTTGGAAAGCAACAGTTCTGCAAGTAAGGTTTTGTAGGCAACTGATCATGGTCAGGAGGGTTCATTGCCTCTGTCAGACAGTTCAACTTAGAGAGCACCAGCTAAAATGTTTTATTAATGAAAGGATTTTGCCCTATGAACCCATAATCTCAACTGGGATTTAGCTTGGCTGGATATTTGGACTGACATTTACACTGAGGAAGCATTCATAGGTTTAAATGTTGGTCCAAATATGCAGCCAAGCTGAATCTCAACCGAGATTAATGGACTTGGAGAGGGCTTCAGCCTTCTCCTGAGATGCAGTCTGGAATTCAGGGGACTCAAGTTCAAATTGTGTAGCGTCTTCTCTCATCCTGTTATGTTTGGCAGTACCAGAAAAGTGACAAGTGAAAATAAAAATTACTAGTGATAAGTGGTTTTGGTCAGGTGTCTAGAGGGTCAAGAGAATTAAGGATAGTGGGGGACATGTGAAAGTCAGAAATATTTCTCTGCAAATACCCAAATAGCTCTGTAGAGTGCCTGCCTAGAGTTCAAGGGACTTAGATTCAAATTCTGGTCAGGCTAGTAGTTTTATATTCCTTCCTGTTGCATTTGGTGCCTTGACCTGGTCTAGCAGTTTCATTTTGGATACTGCAAAAACAGTCTACAGTGTACCCAGTAGTAGCATTTTTCAGGTGTAGAGAAATTATGTATTCCAAATGTTTGCTTATAATATAGCAACAAAAATAGGAAAGAGAAGCTTTAACCTCCACCCCACCCCCAAATAAAAAAAATTACAAAAAATCTAGGGTATTAGCCTAAGATATTTTCTGAATTTTTTATGATTTCAGTCATGTTAATAAAAACTCTGAAACTGAGCCTTAAAATCCTTCCAAGGGAGTGATTGGTGGTATATCATGTGTATTTGGATGTAAAGGTCTTTAAGGAGGGGTCAGGAGTGTTTGTAGTTTGATCTGAACAAATTGATTTTACAGGTAGAAAAAGTTAGGTGGTCTGCTGGCATTAGACAAGTAAATTTTGAAGTAGACCAGTTGTTTTGAAAACAGATTGGTCTACTGGAGTAGTATGGTAATTGTTTAGTAAATAAAATATTCACTAGTCAACAGATCACTGAACCAAAGTACTTGTATAATGACTAGCTAAGACTGACTGATCTGATTTAGTGAATATTGAAAATTAGTTCTAGCACTGCCTTGTAGCTTAATGGCTAGATTATTGACACAAGAATCCAAGAGTCCAGGTCTTGATAAAGGACTGGATTCATGTCCATTTTCTCTATCCCTCTTTTAAATTATTATACCCCTGCTCCTAAGGAGAGGGGGGTATACTGTTTTACCCTTGTGTGTCTGTCTGTCTGTCTGTCCGTCTGTGTGTCTGTCTGTCCGTAACAAATTTTGGTCGCAGTTTTCTCAGCATCTACTCATTGCAGATGCTTGAAATTTTAGCACAATCTTTGTTTAGGCATGCCATATGGTGGGATTCATTTTTGTATGAATCCGATGTCTACTTCCTCTTTATCTGTGTGTCTGTCCGTACCATACATAAAAAATTTTGGTCGTAGTTTTCTCAGCAACTACTCATCGCAGATGCTTGAAATTTTAGCACAATCTTTGTTTAGGCATGCCATATGGTGGGATTCATTTTTGTACTAATTCGATGTCAACTTCCTGTTTATCCGTGCATCTGTCCGTACCACACATTATAAACTTTGGTCGCAGTTTTCTCAGCAACTACTCATCACAGATGCTTGAAATTTTAACACACTCTTTGTTTAGGCATGCCATATGGTGGGATTCATTTTTGTACGAATCCGATGTCAACTTCCTCTTAATCCGTGCCTCTGTCCGTACCATACATAACAAATTTTGGTCGTAGTTTTCTCAGCAACTACTCATTGCAGATGCTTGAAATTTTAGCACAATCTTTGTTAAGGCATGCCATATAATGAGATTCATTTTTGGAACAAATCCAATGTCAACTTCCTGTTTATCCATGCGTCTGTTTTGAAACATACATAGCAAATTTTGGTCGTAGTTTTCTCAGCAACTACTTATCACAGATGCTTGAAATTTTAGCACAATCTTTGTTTAGGCGTGCCATATGTTGGGATTCAGTTTTTACAAATCCGATGTCAATTTCCTGATTATCACTGTCTTTCTCTATAACCGAACTTGTGTATTCACATCAGAGCGGGGGTATTATTAGTGAGCATTGGCTCACAGACTTCTTGTTCAGTTTTGTACTCGTTTTCTACACTTAAAAAGATATTACATGTGCTGAACATTACTTTTTAAGATTGATATTCTGCAAATTTTCATGGCATGTGTCCTTATAAATTGATGTTCACAAAATTATTGACTTATTGTGTCAAAGATTCTTTTAGGTTAGTCTTTTGAGTGCATTAGTAATTCTAGAATGCTTTGCTTATCTGTTTATATGAGGTACTTCTAATCATTTCTTTTCTAATTGATTTAGGTAGAAGATTCTCAGGAAGAACAAATAGGACAGTCTGAAGAGAAGGTCCCTCAACTAGCAAGAAAGGAGGTATTTATTGTCAAATAAATGAAGATTGAATGAATCAATAGTTTGGAAAAAAAATTACATGGGGATGTAAATTCATAGGTAAGGGCAACCATGAAATCCATGGACATTGGTCATCCATGAACAATAATGATTCCACAGTTAAATTGAATTCTAGTAAGACAGTAGTACAATATTCAATTTTTAGAAATTAATTGATTATTAATCCTTAAAGTGCTAAATCTGCAAAAAAAGGTCAAATTTTAAATAATACAAGTATGTTTTCTATTCAAGTCAACTTCATCATGTTCGGCATAAAAAAAATTGCATAGAGATGCAAGCTAGTAAGAAATGTAACTTATAATGTTTATACATGTAATTTGCAAAGTTGTAATATATGTAGCTGTTATTAATTAAAAGGAATACTTCTTAAAACTATTGAAATGGTTCAAAAAATTCTTTGGGAAAAAGCAGACAGAAGAGCAAATTGGTATAGAAATAGATGATCATGAATTTCCTCAGCTAAAAGTCACTTTTTTCTTCACAGGTGATAAGAAGGCTTCGAGAGAGACACGAGCCTATCAGACTCTTTGGAGAAAGTGATTATGAGGCCTATCTTCGACTAAAAAGACTGGAAACTGATGGACCTGATGCCAGAGAGGTAAATGTCGCTTGCAGATCATTGATCCAATATAAAATGTGTTGTAAAATTTCTTCAAGTTTGTTTTTATGAATTGTGAGGTAATACTAAAATACTTTCTATTGATAATTTGGAATTTAAAATTTTTTGATAGCTTTCAAATGAGGATCTTTTTTCTTGTTTATCTGTAGTCAACACATCTTGTAAGTAGGTCATTTATAAATGAGAGATTCATATTTACATGTATCCAGTATGACTAGGATGCACGTACACACAGAAAATATCCCTCCTTGTATATTACAAATGTTTTGCTTTTTCTGATGACAGGAGGGTTTCAGGAATGAGTTCAAAGCAGCTATGGACAAAGTAGATGAAGACTATTTCAAAGAAATGGTGGAAGCTGCCACATCGGGTGAAGGTGGCAAAAAGTCAAATGATGTGTCAATCAAAGACGACGGCACCACAGTGGAGGACATTCAGGTACAAATTATTCAGTCCTGCATAAGTTAGTAAACATGGTAAAGGTTTATTGCATCACATTTGTAATTGCTGTAAAATTTGTCTTATCCGGACACCAATGGTTCCAAAGAAAGTGACCAGATTAGACAATATTTCAGATTAGAAAAAATTTAAGCAATTGAATTGTCTGAAAGGGACTTAAAGTTAACATTGTATTAGGCAAGAATTCGGAATACACAACATCCAGATAAGGCAAGTTTTTCTGTAACAAATACAGTCAAACCTTGTTATCTCAAACTTAATTGGGGCCAGGGAAAACTTTGAGATATCCAAGGATTTGAGATATAGAGGTTTAAATACATGAAGAAAAACATGAAAAAGTGGTTGGTACTTCCAGCTCACCTTGACTTTTCCATGGTATTTTTGATATTGTTGTTTGAGATTTCAAAGTTTGATAATTAGTGGATAATCTTTGAAAAGAAAATAATCAGGCTTGGCTACACATACATTTAACTGCACAGAAGCAAGCATTTAAAAAAAAAAAGTTTTGTTAATAAAATATGCATTTATATATGTAGGTATGGATTACTGAATATTTGAAAGCTATAACAGTCTCTTTTTTTTTCAAATAGAAAATGAAAGAAGAAATAGGGAAAGGTGACTCAGAGAAAAACTCTGATATAATTTTGAGATTTCTAAAGGTAAGTTTAGTGAAGAAAAGCAATGCAAAATACAGAATAACATATAGTTTTGGTAATTTTCTTTTTGCCTTAGACAAAGTTAAGCTACATGGGTGCTAATACATGCATTGTATATGTCCCTTAATCATCTTATCCTAAATATGAAAATGTAATGAATAGGTTAAATAGGATTCAGCTATGATTTTTTTGTTGCAGTACCTCCTGAAAATGTGGGGACAGACATTAAATGAGAGGACAGAGGACGAGAAAAGAACACTTAAAGGAAAGGAAGCAAGTGCCATTCACACACAAACAGTCAGTTATCTCAAGCCATTGTTCAGGAATCTCAAACACAAGGTACGATTTACAGTCAGTTATCTCAAACCGTCTCAGGAATCTCAGACACAAGTTACAATTTTTAGTCAGTTATCTAAAACCATTGTTCATAAATCTCCAATAAAAGGTCCAATTTACAGTCAGCTATTCTCAAACCATTAATCAGGAATCTCAGACACAAGTTACAATTTACAGTCAGCTTTCTCAAACCATTGTTCAGGAATTTCAAACACAAGGTACACTTTACAGTCAGCTATCTCAAGCCATTGTTTAGGAACATCATACACAAGGTACAATTTACAGTTTGGACTAATTAAGAAGGATTCAATGTATCAATAGTTTTTTAATAATCAGAATTTCTACTTGGCATTTGGCAAGAGGTTAAGAGCATCAAATTGGTGTAGAACTTGTCATTCTTTACAGTGTTGCTTTTCATAGGATTGATTTATTTTGAAAAACATACATTTCTTTTTTCTTTTTTTTTTATTTCTCTTGATTATAAAACACATTTATAACATATACCTGTTTGATAGTCTATTGATAGACAAATACATTCTTGCATAAACACATAATACAAAAAGCTATCATGGATACTAAATGCTTTGTAATGGGAAGCAACTCTTACTCTGTAATGCATACATTTAATATCAGACAGTATTAAATTGCCCAACCCATGAAATTTAACAAAAATTGTATTGCTACAAATAACTTGCCAACCAGGCTTGCTTTTTTTAAACCAGAATATAATTGTTTTGTTTTGTTTTTTTTTTAATAAATTCTCATTCCTCAAGGGGATAAGCATGTCAATCCATAATGACTTAATCAATATAAACAATGTTGACAACTTTAAATGCACCAACTTTTGTTACTGCTCATGCTGCAGCTCTGTCCTTTTTATTTAATCTTCTAATGGGATGGGGCTGGATGAGGTTGGGGGGGAGGGGGGATCACTTCTTTACTTTCCAAAATCACACAAAAACTGATTTCCTCCAAATGAATCACAAAATAACACTGCACAAAGATATGTAATTCTGTTTGTCAGTTTTTAATTTCAATGAAAGGTGTTACCATAGTTGATAAAATGTACTCCTCTTACAGTTTTGGTTTGAGAATTATAAAACTTGTTAAGAGTTTAGAAAACATGAAAACATAACTTTTGTAAATATATATACATGTAACCAAACAAAAAAAGAAAGGTGTTTAAAATACAGGTGCAGTCTTTTTTACCACCATTTTATGTACAAACCTGCTGAGCTACAGCTCATCAAAGACTTTTGGTTTTTGTGTTTTACAGACCATTGATGAAGATATATTAGATGCCATGGTTATCATTGTTCATCACCTAATGCATAGAGACTATCTAAAGGTAAATATTTAATATGATTCATATTGTGTATTGATGTCATTCATGGAAAAAAAACATGATCTGATAGAATTTAATCTTATTTCATATAGAAATATATCAGTTATTAAAAAAGTTTTTGGTAATTCAAGATTATACATAAACTGTTAGTGATGTGTTCTGAATGCTTGAAAGTTCTCTCCTTCAATGTCTTGATTTTCATTAAAAAAGTGAATAAAAATGAAATTAGAGAAGATTAGGTTTGCTCAAAATTGAAACTCTTTTAAAATGTGTTCAGAAGAATGTGTGCAAAACATTTCCTGGTAGAGAATATGTACACTCAGTTGAAAAGAAAAAAAAACATTACAACTCATTGACTTTGTATTTTATTCCCTGTTCATCATGCACAGGTTCCTTCCTTATATTATGTTTTTTCTTTCTAAGGCTAATGATGCGTACTTGGAGATGGCTATTGGAAATGCTCCCTGGCCTATCGGGGTCACTATGGTGGGTATCCACGCTCGTACTGGTCGTGAGAAAATTTCATCTCGGCATATCGCACACGTACTTAATGATGAAACACAGAGAAAGTATATACAGGTAAAAAAAAAAGGAAGAGTTAAAAATTGAATATTTTTACTAATTTGAAAATGAATTTCCACCTTTCAATTCTGCAATAGCTTGAATATACTTATAAACTTTCCAGTTAAAAAGAGTTCAATACTTCTCAATAATCCCTGATCTGCCATTATTTATTTTGTGAATTGTATTTTGTAAATGAAATGACTTGCATTGTGACTACTGATGTTTCTTAATTTTTCTTTAATTCCAGGCATTAAAGAGACTTATGACACAGTGTCAGAAGATTTTCCCCACAGATCCATCATTTAGTGTAAATTACGAGAAACCCAATACGTGATATTGACTGATCGAGAAAGCTCTTAATAAGTTATTATATATTTTATAAATGTGCTGATTTGACAGAGAACAGAAAAGCAGTGAGTTACCATTATTTTTATTCAATTAAGTACAGGTAAATGGTTTATGAGCAGCTTACACCAGACTTGATAAAATATCCATGAAGGAAAATTGTTCTTCTGTTGGTTGAATGTGCATTTATGGTCAACTGGTCTTGTTGCCTATAAAAAAGCAAGAATCTTACCTCATTCTCTATTAGAATTATTTCAGCAAAGAAATAATAACAATCAGAGAAATCATGCCAACTTCATCATGACAGTTTTTCCAGCCAAAACAAAAATATTGATAACAAAAGCACATTTTTATTTACAGATGTATGTGTTGGAAATTAATCTGGAAATGTTGAACCACTTGTTTTTGTTTTAATATAATGTTGATCTTCAAGCTATTTATGGGCAGTGATTTTAAACCATGTAATAAAACTCAGCATGTTAAAGAACTGGGTACGTTACGTATAACAAGGCGGCCCTGTCTCCAAATTTAATTTCAGTTTTATACAAACATGTCTACGATGTGTCCTTTCAAGATCATTTTATTTTTTTTAATTATCACATACCGTTTTTCCGTCAGATATCTCGAAAAATGGGGAGTTTTCTTTAAAAATTACAAATTTTGACGTGATAACGTCATCACGGCGTTAATGATTTTAACGTTACGTTAAAAGAAATCTGTAAATTCTCTGAACTGAAAACTATTTACTTTTTTCTGCCTTAGTTCCAGAAAACAATTTTGAACTTTTATTTCAATTCATTGTATATGTACCTTTGATAGCTGGAAGGAGTATAATAATTTGTAGGAAAATACATATAATTTTATTACAAATGATTTTATCAGACATGTAATGAAGCTTGATTCATCCATACAGACGAGACAAGGTACGTACTTCTTTTAAAATTTGTATCATGTATATATGTGCGCGTATCAAATTTATTAAAAAACAAGAGGCCCATGGGCCACATCGCTCACCTGAGCACACTGGCTAGACTAATGCACAAATCAGTTCAGTAATGAACAGGGGGGGGGGGGGGGCTTGAATTTTAAACTACCTGATGATGCTTTCATGTCAATATAACAAATGAATTTGTTGTACTTGAGAAGATTTTAAAAGAATTTTCCTATTTATTCCTTTGTAAAAATTTGATCCCCCATTGTAGCTCCTCCCTATCTCAGGGGTCATCATTTGAACAAACTTGAATCTACATTACCCGAGGATGCTTCCATATCAATAAGACTAACATAGCTTTTCTGTTCTTGAGAAGAATTTTTTTTTTCTATATGTTCTTATGTAAAACTTTCGATCCCCCATTGGGCCCCACCCTACCCCCGGGGGTCATCATTTGAACAAAATTGAATCTACACTACCTGAGGATGCTTCCATATAAATTTGACTCATCATGGCTTTGCTGTTCTTGAGAAGAAGATTTTTCCTATATATTTCTATGTAAAACTTTGATCCTCAATTGTGGCCCCGCCCTACCCCCGGGGGTCATGATTTGAACAAAATTGAATCTACACTTCCTGAGGATGCTTCCGTATAAATATGACTCTTCATGGCTTTACTGTTCTTGAGAAGAAGATTTTTAAAGAATTTTCCTATATATTTCTAAGTAAAATTTGGATCCTCCATTGTGGCCCCGCCCTACCCCCGGGGGTCATGATTTGAACAAACTTGAATCTACACTACCTGAGGATGCTTCCGTACAAATATGACTCTTCATGGTTTTACTGTTCTTGAGAAGAAGATTTTTAAAGATTTTTCCTAAATGTTTCTATGTAAAACTTTGATCCTCCATTGTGGCCCCGCCCTACCCCCGGGGGGTCATGATTTGAACAAACTTGAATCTACACTTCCTGAGGATGCTTCCCTATGAATATGACTCTTCATGGCTTTACTGTTCTTGAGAAGAAGATTTTTAAAGATTTTTCCTATATATTTCTATGTAAAACTTTGATCCTCAATTGTGGCCCCGCCCTACCCCCGGGGGTCATGATTTGAACAAACTTGAATCTACACATCCTGAGGATGCTTCCCTATAAATATGACTCTTCATGGCTTTACTGTTCTTGAGAAGAAGATTTTTAAAGATTTTTCCTATGTATTTCTATGTAAAATTTTGATTCTCCATTGTGGCCCCGCCCTACCCCCGGGGGTCATGATTTGAACAAATTTGAATCTACACTACCTGGGGATGCTTCCATATAAATATGACTCTTCATGACTTTACTGTTCTTGAGAAGAAGATTTTTAAAGATTTTTCCTATATATTTCTATGTAAAACTTTGATCCTCCATTGTGGCCCCGCCCTACCCCCGGGGGTCATGATTTGAACAAACTTGAATCTACACTACCTGGGGATGCTTCCATATGAGTTTCATCTTTACTGGCCCTGTGGTTCTTGAGAAGAAGATTTTTTAAAGATGCTACTCATTTTTCACTAATTCTTAATTATCTCCCCTTGAAAGAGGGCGTGGCCCTTCATTTGAACAAACTTGAATCCCCTTTACCCAAGGATGCTTTGTGGCAAGTTTGGTTGAAATTGGCCCAGTGGTTCTGGAGAAGAAGTCGAAAATGTGAAAAGTTTACAGACAGACGGACTACAGACAAAATGTGATCAGAAAAGCTCACTTGAGCTTTCAGCTCAGGTGAGCTAAAAAAAAAATATTTAAAAATTTGCTAGATTTCTTCAACCATTTTTCGCATTGTCTATGAAGTTACATTTAAAATTTTAAAGATACCTGAATCAATTAAAAAGAAAATTGGAACGTTCCATATAATTAAAATTGTCAAAATTGGATTTTTGGCAATAAAAAACCTATCACCCCCTTTTTCCATTCCAATAAATGAAAAAAAAAAATTTCGTATCTTCTATTGATAAATATATAAATTACTCACTATTTCAGAGTTATGAGGTGTCTGTTAAACTGCGTTAATTTTTCTTTGATGTTAGGATTTCTTTTATAGATCGTTATTTATTCATTCCAGTGGATTCGCTTTACTGCATGGTTTATGTCAAATGCACTAACCAGGAATAATCCCTAACATACTTACATACATGTTAAACCAAAAGGGGAGACCGGTTATAAGATGTTACTTGTGGAGTCCTGATTGATGGGGCGATTCCAAGTTTTTTCTTTGTTTAGCGTCCACCCTATTTTCGAAAACCTGTCTTCATATCCGGGAAAACCAAAAGGGGAAAAACACAACATTTTCAGAACAGTTGTAGAATTTCTTATTATCATTTTGGACCTCTCCTCACAGTAAAACTAAGTTTTAAACTACTAGTTTATTGAAATAAAAAATTAATACACCACTTAAACAAGAGGCCCAAGGGCCTTAACGGTCACCTGAGTATGATACAACAATTTCAAGGATGCATAGAGTATAAAATGAACTGAAAGGTGAAGCTTTGTTGCCCAAAAGCAAGAAAAATAGGGTGAACATGATCAACAAAATAATTGGTCTTAATATTCATTAACAGTTCATAAATTAGGTTCTAATCTGTTCCCCATTTATCACTATCACTATACAGTATATTAACAAATTATCAATGCTTCTTACTATTTTAATCCTTTGTTGAAATCTCTTAGATTGGCATCTCTTGGTCTTTGATGAATATTTAATAAGACAAGTTATTTTTGTCTCATTTTTATTTATCAACTAATTACAAGTCTATCTGATCATTAAAACTATGAAAGTACTTTTTGTATTATACAATAAAAGTTTTTGCATAATTCTCTTGTTCTATTTACCTTTCAAGTACATTATTTACAGTGATAAATCATCAAAAGTAAATGGCAAAGGGGAATAACTCCTCTCAGTAGAATACAAACTAATAGAGCCCTGGCCAGGACCAGAACACTTGACCAAATGGTCCAGATGTTCAAAAATCTGGTAAAAATTCCCTTCCTTATAAAAACTTTTACTCTGTTTGCCTCAGATATGCCCAGGTGCGGAGAAGATTTTTAAATAAATAATGCATTTTTACTACAGATTCACTATATTATCAATAGAGCCCCCCCCCCCCCCCAATCCCCCACCCCCAAAACACCAGAGCTTCTGACCCTGGGACCATATGTTTGCTCATCATTACTTTGTTTATCTGCTTAACACTAAGGAGCAAACAGGATTATTTAATAGAATTAATGCATTTTCACTAAATTATCAAGAGCCCCACCCTCACACCAGCACATCTGACCCAGGGGTCATGAAATTCACTACTCTGGAAGAAGCACACTTGCTCATCATAACTATACACTTAGCTTCTTTGCATTTTTAACCAGAAGAAGAAAAGAATATTTTCAAAGAAAATTTGCTCTTTCACTTTATAATCAATAGAAGTCCCCCCCCCCCTCACCAGAACCCTTAAACCTGGGGTCATAAAATTCACAATTTTGGAAGAGGCATCCTTGTGTATCATAACAATGTACTTTAGTCTGTTTAAGCAATACCCAGGGGCAGAGTAGAAGATTTTCAAAGAAATAATTCACCTTCACTATAGGATCTATATAGCCCCGCCCTAGCACCAAAACTCCTGTCCCCGGGGCCATGAATTTCACAATTTTGGAAGAGGCATCCTTGCTTATCATAACAATGTACTTAGTTTGTTTAAATAATACCCAGGTGCAGAGAAAAAGATTTTTAAAGAATTAAAACATTTTCACTTTATAATCAATAGAGCCCCGCCCTAACACCAGAACCCCTGATCCAGGGGCCACGAATTTCACAATTTTGAAAGAGTCATCCTTGATTATCATAACTATGTATTTAATGTGTTTCAATAATACCCAGGAGTAGAGAAGAAGATTTTCAAAGAATTAATGCATTTTCACTATATAATCAATAGAGCCCCACCCTAACACCAGAACCCCTGACCCAGGGGCCATGAAATTCACAATTTTGAAAGAGGCACTCTTGCTTATCATAACTATGTACTTAATTACTGAATTTAATACCCAGGAGCAGAGAAGAAGGTTTTCAAAGGATTAATGCATTTTCACTATATAATCAATAGAGTCCCGCCCTAACACCAGAACCCCTGACCCAGGGGCCATGAAATTCACAATTTTGGAAGAGGCACTCTTGCTCATCCTAACTATGTACTTAGTTAGTTTATTTAATATCCAGGAGCAGAGAAGAAGATTTTCAATGAATTAATGCATTTTCACTATATAATCAATAGAGCCCCACCCTAACACCAGAACCCCTGCCCCTGGGGCCATGAATTTCACAATTTTGGAAGAGGCACTCTTACTCATTATAACTATATACTTAGTTAGTTTATTTAATACCCAGGAGCAGAGAAGAAGATTTTCAATGAATTAATGAATTTTCACTATATAATCAATAGAGCCCCGCCCTAACACCAGAACCCCTGCCCCTGGGGCCATGAATTTCACAACTTTGGAAGAGGTACTCTTACT